GAATAGTCTGAGGAGGATAGGTTTTAGTTCTTCTTTGAATGCTTGGTAGAACTCCCCTGTGAAGCCATCCAGACCAGGGCTTTTGTTTGCTAGAAGATTTTTGATTGCTGCTTCAATTTCTTTGGTAGTTATCAGCCTATTCAGGTTTTATTATTCTTCCTAATTGAGGTTTGGGAGCTATTTTTCTAAGAATATGTCCATTTCCTCTAGGTTATCCATTTTGTCGGAATAGAGCTGTTTATAGTATTTTTTCATAATCCTTTGTATTTCTATGGGCATAATTTACTCTTAATTCACGAAGAACTTCAAGTCCATTTACTACTTCCATCACTTTACTTTGCCAATTCAGATGCAGAATCTAAATAAATTCAATGCCGTTGTGCTAAGAAACTCAAGTTTAGTTTAGGAGTTTTTATTTTTTATTTGAAATCTTCCTTTTTTGCTTTCTTGCTTACTTTAAATCTTGATTGTTTTCTCTGTTTCTATACAAACCATTGAGGATTCACCAGAAATACTTGTATAAAAATCTATATGACACATAGCTGCAGAGATGTAATCTGTATGTAATGCTGAAATGCATTTCCTTTGAAATCCCACACACCTACTGAAAACACAGTAATGATTAGGCTAGGCTTAAAAACATACAAATTGCAATGTAGAAACACAACTCTCCCTTCACTGTGTGCCTGGTGGAGTTCTGCATAAAACCAAATGTCCAAGAGAGTAGGAGCAAAGCATTAGTTTAATCTTCTGTTAAGTTTCTGCGCTAATCTAATTTTCCTCCCAACCCCAGAAAAATTAGGAAACAACTCAGGTACAAGGCAGCCCAGAACTCGAGTGTAAAGACAGACTTTAGACGGAGAGTCCCTGGATGGGAGCACAATGGCCATGGTGAGGGCACATCCACAAACAGCTTCCAATGAAGGCCTGTTAAAATGGGAATTCATGGGGTGCTCAGAACCCCACGTTGGATGCCCAATGTTGAAACACTTTATTCAAGGTTTGATGTAAGTGTGACAAGATCTTAGGGATAATGTATTCTCTGATGAACTGGAATGTTTAATTTGAAAACAGTCTCATCTCCCCCAGATTGCCACCTTAGCCAGACACATCACACTGGAAGTCTGTGAAGATGAGAAGGCCATGTTGTTAGCGTTAACAGTCATTCCGTTTGTTCCTCAAATTAGTAACATTTAAATTTGGCTTTCTTTCATTCTTTTCTTTTCTTTTTCATTTTTTTTTTTGATGTGGTGCATACGTTTATTAGGAATGTTGAATTAGAACCAGATGATATTTTCAGCTTAACTCTCCTCCCTTTCCTGTTATTCTGAGAAAACAATTCCAGATCCTGGGAGTGTCGGTGAGAAGACTATCCCGGTGCTCAGCAATGAAGCATTGTCTAAGTTTAATAATGGTAGAAAACTCACTCACTACAAGATCCTTGTCTGATGAACTCATAATTAATTTTGTTTTAAGTGATGCCACTTAAAGAAATTCAGTTGCTTCTAATATTTTTTTCAACTTCTGTTTTGAATTTTCCTGAATTTATAAAAGCTACACGGTTATATTTTCCAGACACGTTGAACAAATAATTTCTCAAGTGGGATGTAAGAAGCTTTAATGAAGCTAAAAAGCTTTTGCAGGTTAAGGATATTACAGAATCACCTTGGACATTTCTTTAATAATTTTGTTTAGAGAGTTTTTACATTTTGAGTCATTTATATTTTGTTTCTGAGATTTTTATTGATCCCTAAAACCCACCCTTATGTTCATATTAAATTACTTCAATAGTATTTTAATGATTCAAATTTTTTTCTTTACACTTTAAAAAAATATGTATTTTTATTTATTTCAGAGAAGAAAGGAGAGGGAGAGAGAGACAGAAACATCAATGATGAGAGAGCATCATTGATCGGTTGCTTCCTGCACGCCCTTACTGGGGATTAAGCCCGCAATCCAGGTTTGAGCCCAGTCTCAGTAATTTAGGGAGTTGGCTGGATATAGACATTTTCTTTTGCTTTGTTTTGCAGACTAATCAATTCATGAACAGGCTAGAACTTTCAAGCTCTTACCTTAATCCACAATCAATGGATGATACTCACACTGACCTCTTAAAAAAAATAAAGTGTTTGTCTCCACTTAGCCAAAAAAAAGCTGTGCTTTATTAAATTTGGACTGTATTCTCTGGCAAAAGCTACACCGCAGTTATACTGTTTATAAAGAGGCCAAAATACTGGTAAGGCCAAATACCACACAGACTAATCCCTAAAAAGACTCATTTATTTATCTTTCCTAATAGTTCCTCACTTCTCAACCCAATACTGCTGGAAAGAAGTAATAATTCTACAACCAAACCACTCTGAATCCCAACTTCCTTCATCCCCAGTGAGGGAAGATGGACTCTCCATTGCTGTTTGCTGGTTTAGAAAATGTGCATGTGTGTATAACTACAACCCTTTAACGGTACTTTCAGGAGAGAGCATGGCTTCAAGCCCAAAAGAACGGAATGTTTGACTCTTGAGAAAAACAGGATTGAATTTCTCCTTAGTTGTTCTTGCTTAATTTCTGATAAGGCTTTGAGCAAAGAAAAAAAAATTGGAAACTCTTTAAGCTCCCAGCATCTGAATATCTCAGCAAACAGAAGGGCATTTGTTTATGACATATCTCTGGGGAATTCCCCCTCCCACCCCAGGATCTTTCCCAGTTCCAATGCACCCTGATGCTCACCTGCTGGTCTCGCTTTGCTGTCAACATTTCCTTTAAAAATAGACCTTGAATTTTAGTTCTCTCTTTCTTTTTTTAATGGAGAGAATAGAATTTCGTCTTTCATGGTGACACCATAGGACTCTAACTCTAGAAAGCTGCACAAATAAACTTTGAAGCTCTCTCCATGGTGGCCACATGCTGTCCCCGTCTCCACTGCACCCCTGGCCCCCAGCACCATGTGCATCTCTTCGTTTAAGAGACACAGCATGTGGCTGGAGATGAAAATGCGTCTCTGCTAAGTCAGAGGAAACCAAAAATGTCTGGTTACAATGGCATGTTTCCAGTATTTGCTTTCAGGAGATTATAGTTCCATTTAACCAAATTCCTGTTAGCAGATGTGATCTGGGCATGCCCTCGAGAGCCAATGTGATACTGAAAGGATCAAACAAAAGATGAAAACAAATAGACAGTGAGATACTCTCAGAGATTTCAGAAGCAATGCAAAGGGACTTCTGAGATGCAAAATAGTCAACTATCAGCAATTTAGACAGTGAAATGTCACCCAGCAAATGAGAATTTGTTTAGCAAACCGTGGGTTCAACTTCCAGTTTAAAACTAGATTTTCCACATTTAACACTAGAATGCACTTGAGAGGATTGAGTTTAATCATCAATAGTCCTAAATTCCAAACCACACCTGCTATGTTAGTTCAGTTATTTAAAAACTAACCTTTTAGAAAACAATGTTTTGGTTCAATCATAGCCCAGCAAAGTAGAATTCCTTATTTCCTTATTGCATGGACTCTAGTGGTATCAAAAGTATTCTTTCAGGTGGGATTTTTTTCCTTCTGTATCTTACTTCACTTCTGAAATTGGGCATTCATTAATGGGCCTGTACATATAGACACTGACTTCTGTTAAAGGAACTCATTCTTGTTTATCATACTGTTTCCCCTGTTTATATTGAATCCTTGCAACATCATTGTGAGTTGCTTGATCAACTAAACCTTGCTTCTAACTCTGGATGGTCCAAGGAATTGATTATAAATAGTCACCGACTTCCTTAAGCAAGCAGGAGAAGGGTGTCTTTTACTGCGAGGGTGCCCTCCTCCCGTGGTTATTTGGAAGAAATGAAAAAAGTTGCCTGGAAGAGAACTTGGGGGCAAAGTAGGTAGAGGTAAGTCAGTAGTGGGTATATCTGCACTGGAATTTTGACTCTGAGTATCTTCAAGTACATTTATTTTGTGATGACTTTCAAAAGTCTTTATGTCATGCTCATATGAAGTTAATGCTTTCCTTTATAGTGTTATGTGAAGATGTTCCTGAAGTGAGTCAAGTCTTAAGGTTCCACTGTAGAAACAAGCCATCTCAAGCCAAAACTATTCAATCTAATTTGGGAACTACTTTGAAGAATACGTCTACACAAAACATTCCAATAGGTATTGCAAAGTTATAAAAACAACTCAATTTTTCTAGAAGATCATCATTTGATTCTAATTAGATTTAAATAATTATAAATCAAGTTCACTGTGGTAAGTGCATGATGATAGGAAGCAATTTTGGTAAAAGTATGGGGAACGAAGGCATTTCTTCTGTCTACCTACTTAGGGAAAAAAATCCTTGAGTGGAGGGAAGATGAAAACCATATGTATCTAGAAGGAAGCACAGGACTGGGGCAGTTGTATGCAGTGAGGAAACACAGTTCCAAGGCAAAAGACTTTATGCAAAGGCACAAAGGCTGGCCTGGCTGGTGTGACTCAGTGCTTGAGCATCGACCTATGAACCAGAAGGTCACAGTTCTATTCCAGGTCAAGCACATGCCCTGGTTTTGAGCTCAATCCCCAGCAGGGGGCATGCAGAAGGCAGCTACTCACTGATTCTTTCTCATCATTGATGTTTCTATCTCTCTTTCCC